TCCTTCTGATTCAGTATATTCTTTCCGTCTTCTTTTAATACTTCCTGGATCATTTAATATTCTGCCTAAAGCATCCTTGATTATAGCAACTCAAGGTTTGAATTTGTTCTTCAGTTCCTTGAGCTTAAGGTATGCTGAGCGAGTTCTGCCCTTTTGATTTTCTGACTCCAACTCCTCACACATTTCATTGTAATATTTTACTTTGTCATCCGTGCTGCCTTCTGAAATCTTCTATTCAATTCTTTAGTATCTTCAATTCTTCCTTGTGCTTTGGCTTCTCTACACTCCAGTGCAATTTTCAGAATACACAACATAATTTGTCTTTTAAACAAGGCAAAACAAACATTAAAAAAAGTGAACCACTACCACAAAAACTACTTAGTTATGGGAAATAGCTATACATATTTGTACTAGAAAAATGAAAGTATAATATAATGTAATAATGAAGGAACTCTGGCAATTTGAATTCACTCTGGTTCAGTGACTCCATGAGAGAAAGATGGACAGTCTCCTCTTGTTGGTATTAAAGGCTCAGAAACCTCATTCTGGGAGGAAACAGCCTGTCTTTCTAGATCCTTTGGAAAATTTGAATCAACCTTTCAGTTGACAGTAAAATATGCTATTTTCTATGTCACCAGATGGTCATTAACACACCCTTAGTCTCCTGATGGCACACTCTTGTTGTTGTTGTTGAGCACCATCGAATTAGATCCAACCATCCAGCAGATTTTCAGAGGCAGCAAATCTTATGGGAGGAGAGTGCTCATCCTTCTCCCACAGAGCAGCTGGAATTTAAACGCCTTTGGGATTGAAGCACAGCTTCTTACCACTAGGCCACCAGAGCTCACATTAACACACCCTAGTATTTACTAATTTTCATTGTCTATCTTCTTTGATTCAGGAAGAGGGAGAAAATTTCTGGAATATCATTCTAAGTGTAAATAGTTCAGTATATATTTCTAAAAGATAAGGGCTTTTTAAAAAGTATATCCACATTGAATTAGCACACTTGAAAACAAAGAAGAATAATTCCTTTATCTCATTAACTATTATTATTTTTTTATTTATTTTTTTTTGGTATGTGTGTACGATGAAATTAGATCTGACTGGTACAGGAGGAGATTGCCCCTCCTTCTCCAGCAGAGCATCTGGTGGATTTGAACTGCATACCTCTGGGATTGCAGTGCAGCTTCTTGCCTCTAGGCCATCAGGGCTCCCTCATTAACTATTTAGTTAATATTTAAATTTTCCTATTTTTTTCCCCATATTTTTTTTTATCAGTTTGTTTCCATCAGGATTATGTACTGTGTTTATGTTGCAATTGGTTTCTTTCTCTTTCACATGTCCATAAAGAAGCAAAATAATATCTAGTTATCCCTCATTTTATTATTAGCAGCTACTAAACATGATTAAAATAGCTCTGGTGGTCTGGTGGTAAGTAATTATGTTGCTAATCTAAAGGTATGCAGTTTGAATTTATAGCTGTTCCTGGGAGAAAGATGAGCAGTCTCCTTTCATGTGATTTACAGCCACTGAAAATCCACTGAAAGGTCAGCTATGAGGCGATTCTAACTCAGTGGTGTATACCAAGAATGATCATTCTTTAGAACGTTAGTTCATTATTGTTAGTTAAAGTTTTAAAATCTAGTATTAGAACTTCACTGCCAGGTACAATGTATGTAGTAGGTCATTTATGCTGCAACAATTATAAGAAAAAGGTAAATTGCAGAAGTTACATTTTAAAATCATTGGAGAGTTCTCAAATAATGGATGAACTAAAATTTCAGACTCAATAGCTAAGGAGCCAACCATTCTCGTCCCTGGAGGCATTTGTCAGCTTTGGAAATAGTCTAATGATTTTTATTTTTTTAATCAAGGAGGTATTTATGTGGGTGTTTGAATGTTGTTGTTGTT